AATTTGAGGACATTTTATGTGTCCTTCAACAACTACCTGCTTAGAAACAAAGACAACTTCATTTTGTTGTTTTAAAACAAGTATCTTATGGCAATTTACCTTTTAGTATTAAATCAACATTCTGCTGAGATGATAAGTCACTGTGACGGACTGGTGACCTGTCCAGGGTTTAATCCATCTCTTATCCAATATAAGGAAACAAATGTTTCCTTATATTGGATAAAGGAAATAGAATACGGATGGATAACAAGTCACTCCTCAACGTAAGTTGAAGAATTTGTTTTTATTTTTAATCTCCAACAACAAGGCGACGCCACCGTTTTCTTGAATACAACCCGTGTTCACATTTCTGGTCTCAATCATATTGTCCGAGTGTTGTTAAAAAATGTGTGATTGTTGTGTTTATAAAAAACAAAGGCTTCTCTTGTCCAATAAGAAACAAAAACAGATTTAAAATAGCAATTAGTGAGTAACGTACAAAGAAAACCTAAGCTTCATGTTTTTGCGTGACGCCAATCGAGCGCCTTATATATAAAAGTTTCAAAATGCTGTTATTAGAAAATTATATACATTTATAAGAAATGCTTCAGCTGCTGGGGGAGTTTATTTTTTATTTTCTGGGAAAATGTTGCTACTGCAAAATAAATAGAACCTTAAGCTTACGTTGAGTCATGCATGTGCAGGGCGGTGCGTCTCAGATTTCCTTCATATCTACACCTTAATATGTTCTTTGTATGTAAACAAAAGTTTTTTTTTTATTTTTATTTTTTATGGCTGCTCAAATAACAGAAAGTAAAAGCGATTTATGACCTAACGGACAGCCCCGTAGCCTGGAATACCTGTGACACAGTCACAGTCAGACAGGGTGAAACCTCTGCTATAATACTGCGTCTATATCTGTCAGCGTACGCTCACGTCGTGGTGCTGAAGGGGCTCCGTTCTCAGTTGCCTCATCGTGGAGATGCAGCCCTCTAATTCTGTGTGACTGCTCTCCCCAGGGGTTTCTTTTCGCTCTGCTGCCTGAGCCTCGGTGCCTGCATGGAGAGAAATTAGGGAATCCCTGCATTCGCCGGCTTTCTCTGCTGCTTTATTCATCCATTTGTTCCCCCTCCCCATCCTCATCTCCCTCTCCCTCCAGCCTGAGTGCTGTGCAAAGGCTCAGTTATCATTAGGGAGGTATTCCTGTGACAATGATAAAAACAGCCTCGGCAGATACGGCATCTTTTTTGCTTATGGAAGCCAAATGAACCAATTTGGAGGAGTGCCACTGTGACAAATTATAGTATAATAGGATATCTTAAACCGAACCCTGGCTTCTTGCTTGTGAAATTCACTGCAGCATACATTTTTAGCAGAGATCATTTGAACCAGAAACACATGCCTAGAGACAATAAGAGTGGATATTTATCGCATCGTTTATAATTTATTACGTCATATTTTTGATTTATTGTTGTCATGATGATGTTTAAAACCACCGAGACTGTCTGTGGGAATTGTTGGCTTCGGTATTTTCTCCACTGTTTGTTCAATGGCAATATCATTACATGTCAATACATTTGAAAATATGATTAAATGCTGTTACTGTGCGCAGTTTAGTGATACAAATCATGCTTCTTTATGTGAGAAGGGGTAGTAGATAGTCACTTTTATCGTTGTCACAGTAATGCCACACAATATTATGACAGCACTTTAAGTCTAGTGGCATAAAAAAATATTCATATCCTTAAACTTCTCCATACTTTGTTGCATTGCAAGTGAAAGGTTTTTAGTTTTTCTAAAAGAGCTTTTCGTCATTGTGATACAGCTAAGGAAAGTAGTGCAAAACTATAAAGTGTAACATGATTTTTAAATGTTTATTCATCAACAATAATAGAAAAAAGCATGGTGTGCATAATGTATTCAATCTGATGCCCCTAATAAAATCAAGTGAAACCAATTTTCACCTAAATAACGGATTATTTGTAGCTTCTTGTCAGCATCAAATGTCTTAAAATGAAATTTTGAATTTTTTTAAGCAAATTTCATCTAGAAAAGCAACAGAACAAAGTTAGGCCATAATAAAACATATCCAGCCAGAGCAGCATCATGCTGTGGGTTCATTTTACAAACAAGGACGCAACAGTCAGCAATGATGTGAACATGAGTGGTCTGTTAAAGGCTGCAAAACACTCAAGACGATGAGAGAGGTTCAGCTACGATGGGAGGGTTTAGATTAAAGCATCTTCAAGTGTAATAATGGCCCAGTCAAAGTAAAGAACCAAATCCAAGTGAGAATATGTGGCAGCACCTGAACACTGTTCACACAAGCTCTGACTGAGCGTGAGCTATAAGCACACACACACTTTGCTTACTGCAATAACATGTTTTCTGTAGCTACTCACTCAGTGTAAGTACCCATTTAGGCCAGCAGCCAAATGCATCTGACAAGCGAAATAGCTACTTGGAAAAGCTGAATATATCTTTGTAATATTTTTACTTCGCCATGGCAGCTCAGACTGGATACAGATCAATGCTTGATGCCAAAAGGCTGTGTGTATATACAAAAAACAAAAAAAAACATCTAGAGTAATTCACAACTCCTTAAACCACAAGTGGAGAAACAATATTTTAATTTTAGTGACAAGATCAGAGGTGAAAGTAAAAAAAGATATACTCAAAAAAAAAAGATAAAAATAAAACCCTCAACAGCTCTGCATCCTTTCTCAGTTAATCTGGATTCATTCTGGCTCTGAACGTAACAAATCGCCTCGTCTTTTTATCTGGACGAGGCGATATGTGTCACACAACATATTTTGTGCACACAAAATATGCTAACTAAACACTCAGCTTAACTCAACGTAAAATCCTCATCTTTCTGATCATTTGCAGGGGGCTTCAATTATGAACAATTAGTCCGACAATACAAACATCTGCATCTCCTCCCATCTCACATCATCATATCTGCCGATCTGAACCAAAAAACCTGCGAAGTGGAATGAGGTCAGCCTGTGTCTTCCTCAGTGCATTGTGTCATCTAACCCTGCAGCAGCAGCAGCATGTAACCTTTTCCAGAAACACCATTCACCCCTGAGGGGACATCCTGGGGAACCCGTGAGCAGGGTCAGCATCAAACAAGCACAGACACACACACACCTGCTAAAGTGCTCCCTTCTTCTTGTCCTGGCATTTAAACCCACTTTTATCATTTGATCTAATCACCTCTACCTCCCTGCATGGAAGAAGTTAAAGTGCTACGGATCAGTGTTTTACTAATGCATTGGTTCATCTGTTGTCGGAGCCAGTGGAGGCGGCTGAAAGCAGGAAAAGGAGCTTTCCTGCTGCATTGCACCTGCCTAAACGCGCCTAACTTTGCAGGGGAAGTGGGCTGTCTGCTCCCAGTAATGTGTTCCCGGTCCACCGAGGTCGTGATGATGGACGGAACAGCACCCCCTCCCATCCTTTCCTCCTCTATCCAAAACAAGAAATCACTCAAAAAAGAAAGAAAGAATAAACCAGGAACTGCAAACCGGCGACAGCGGCAGGCCACATGAAGCCTGATAACAGTAATAAAAATTGCACTGGGCTGACCGGCAGAGGGGAGCCTTACCTGGCGGCTGCGGGGATTCTCCAGCAGAGGAGCGGGGCAGTGCTGAGGAAATCAGTCCGGGAATCGCGCCGAGCGTGTCCGCCTGTCGGTGGGTCTCAGCGCCGTCTGAAGGCTGAGATCCACCGCCAGGGTGTTCCCGACAGGAGGGGGCGTGGTGTGCGTGTGGGGGGCACGCACGCAACCTCACAGATGTGTTTTTATTATTATTGTTATTATTATTTTCCCTTTTTCCTTTCCTTCTTCTTCTGTCAATGCGAGTTTTATTCCCATGTTTGCGGACTTTATGAATGAATCCGTAGATAATTTCGCTCAGAGCAGCAGATCGCCGCAGAGCTGTGGGAATCTCCCCATTGTCACAGCCCACATTATGTACCGTGGATTTCCCTGCTGCCATCCGCTGGGAGTCTGGGTCTGTTTTAGTGGAGCTGCCAGCCGCACAGTGACCGTGGGGACTGGAGGTCCGGATGAAACACTGGTCAGTTTAGATAAACAGCGCTGTGAGACACAGATGAGATCAACAGATATTGATCTCGTTTGCTGCTGTGGTACATAAGGAATAACCTTGTTTGAGAGCTCCGTGATCTAATGCACTTCTCTCAAAGCTGCTCTTATTGAATTACACTCACATATAGAGGGACAGCTGATGAAAAATTGGCTTCTGGCCACTGTTATTGGCCTAAATTTACTTTTATTGTGAGATAGATAGATAGATAGATAGACAGACAGACAGACAGACAGACAGACAGACAGACAGACAGACAGACAGACAGAAAAGACACTCAGCTTGTGTTTATAGTGGTAGAAAATTATCAAAGAAAGCCTATTGAACCCATTCAGTCAATAATACCTTTGCAGCAATATCTAACACTATGCAAGCACTGTGATAGTGGAGAAGCATCATTTCTCTCATCTTGTATATGTGCTCAACATAGGATTATTCTATTCTATTCTATTCTATTCTATTCTATTCTATTCTATTCTATTCTATTCTATTTCTAGCTAAATGGTTGTCCTAAAATAGATATTTCAGAACAAACTGAGACACTTTAAATGAAACGTTTGTTTAAGGAAGAAGAAAAAAACAGAAGGAGAAAATTTAAATGAAAGACATTGAAACAGATCTTGATGGTTCATTTCCAATACCAGCAATTAAAATGTGTGTATCCAAAGGATCCTAAGGTATCTGAGCAATTATAAAATGATTGCATGCGATATAGATTTTGAAACTTCCCTTAAGAAGATGGTCATTTGTTCAGACTCAAAAGTAAGAACCCAGAAGTGCAAATTAAACTAACTGATATATTAGAAACTTTTTCCCCCCTACCAGAGTCTCATTCCACTGAAAAAAAAGACATAACGGAGTTTACGAATCCCTGAAACCTAAATAAAGAACGGCGCACTAATAATTCATCCCAGTAGGCGGCGCCAACACTCGGCGTAGACCTCTCATAGAGAAGAAGAAGAAGCGCTTCAACAGGAAAAACAGCAATCACCAGGGATCATCACAAAGAGAAGAGACGGGCGGCGTTTTGTATGCTGACAGGGATGGAGGAGTACACCTCTGGGGATGATGTGAAGTTATTTTTTTATTCTTATACATTTATAAAAAGCTCTACGGTCAACGTGTCCGTTTGTCAAAGCAGTTAGCCGTTAGCGCAGACAGTTCGCTGATGGGTGTGGTTGCTCTCAGCATCATTTTCTCTTTGTTTACCATCTATGATATTAAAAAAAAGACACAGACAGGTGTACTAACTGAGGGACAATATATATACTGCAACATGATTTAATTTAATAAAGCAGAGGGTAATGTATAACTAAACTAAAAAAAAAAAATCAATCACTTGATGTTGCACTTATACTCGGAACAAGACAAATAAATGTAAGGCAGTTATTATTGTGCCTTTTTGGCCTCTTAACGGTGTCAAATCAGGGTTTATGGTTGATCTGTGCTTGAATCATTAGAAAATAAGTTATGAATTAAAATGTCTCCTTAAATAATATCATTTACTAGTGTAGGATAAGATTCAGATCCAACATGGATTTTTAAACTGAGCTGACCAATGTTTTGCCAAATTTAAAGCAAAATTAACCTTTGTGTTGTCAAAATCATAGTAGTGAATTAATCTGGAAATATTTTTTTATTAATTTTTGTTTCATTTTAGATCATTTTAACATGTAAAGCTGTTTATAAACCTTGTAGATGATTTCTATGGGTCAAGTTATTTAAAGATTGTCATCAGTCTGCTCTTTCTCTTCTACAAAGTCTAAAAACTGTTAATGTAGCAAAGAGAAAATAAATTCCATATAAACTGAATTAACTGTTCTGTATATTGCTGCTTTTTGACTTTGTTGCAGTGGTAGTCATTATAGTTGATATGACATTCAACCTATACTACTAAATATATATAAAAAAAGAGTGGTTTGCTGTTCTGTAAAACCAACTTCATGTTTCCTTCCATTGCATTTCTTTCAAAACAATCCTGCAGGGCAACTTCAACACTGACGAGACCAGCGTCTTGGTGAAGGAGGTAAGATTTTACACCTTAAAGTTATGAGTAGCAAACTTCATTCGAATGCAGTGCAGGTGAAAATCCCCCTGGTTGTCGCTTTGCCTCAGTGTATCGAAGGAGTGATCGGCGGAACGGACTATAACCACAACAAAGTGAACCAGTGGACCGCCAACATCGTTGAGCATTCGCTGACTCATCTGGTGAAGCAGGGTCGCCCCTTCAAATACATCGGTGAGCTGCCGTTTGCATCATCCACATGTGATGACGTAGAAAGCTTGCACTTGGTGAAATACATAAAGTGTAATGTGCATATGTGTAACGCTGTTTGTTGCGATTCAGTGAATTGTACCATCATGCAGAAGAGCGGTGCAGGTCTCCACACAGCCAACTCCTGCTACTGGGACACCACTACAGACGGTAGGAGGCAGTAGAGCTGGGTTGTGTGGCACTGAGTGCTAAAAGCATCTGCTGATTGGTTTTATTTGAATATCTTTAAAATCACAGACTAAAACCAATGCTTTGGAAAGTCATTCCAAAGTATTAAGCCAACATTTATTTCAATTGAAAGGTGTGCCATGAGAATTAAGAGAGAATGCTAAATTTGTACGGTTCATGATCAGTAACAAGTTCTTAAGGATGGAAGTAAACCAGTCATGTTCAAACAAGCTGCTCTTTTCTCTCTTTTCTTTGATGATTTCATCTCAAACTGTATAATTTGAAACAAGCTACATCAAAGAAACGCATTGTTTCACAAACCTCTTGCGCTGATTGCAGTTTGACTGCTTGGATAATGTTGCTAATTTCTGTAGCCATCTAAGCTGTTGATTCTGTCTGAAGGCTACATTTTTGGAGTTAAATTGCAATATATTCCATGAAGCAGCTGGTTTTCTTACATTTCCAGGAAGCTGCACAGTCCGGTGGGAGAACCGCACCATCTACTGTGTGGTCAGTGTGTTTGCTGTGGCGATGTGACAGCGGCGCCGAGCTGCAGACGCTCTCCCTCCAAGCGCCGTCAGCTCCGAAGCCGAGATCAAAGCGACGCCAGGTCCAGAGACGAAGTCCTCCCGGGACTCGATTTCTCCCCTCGGGCAGCTCTGCGTATGTGAACTGGTGTCCGTGTGGATGAAGGTTATTTTCAGAAAACCGGACTGGTAGAACCTATCGTCAGTCAAAAATAAATGACAGTCTGCAACGCTAATTGGTCTCAATCCTCTTTGCAATAGTTGTACTTTCTTATTTATATTTAGAAAATGCTAAACGTCATGATACCTCATTGAAGATAAAAAGGTTAGACTACATTTCCTGATTTTGCACAACGCAGAAAGGCGTAGAAGAAAAAAGCCTCGTTTTTGTAAATGTTAATTTACTATAAAGTGTTTTCTATTAGTTTATATTGAGGTTATTTGTTCTGTGCATGTAGTTCAGAGGTCTTTTCTCATTTTCTGGGTTAAGTTCCTTGAATGCAGCTTCAAAACTATTGATGTTCAGTAAATAAATGTGATTGTCCATATTTTACTAGTGTGTGTACGTCGTTTCTTTTACTTGAAGCAAAAAAAAAAAAAAAAAATTATATATTTGCAGTTTGAGTAATTGGCCACTAGATGTCAACACAGCACAACATGAAAACAAAACGGGCGCAGTCGTCACATATAAATCTAGATTTATTTTTAACTAGATATTTATCTTTTATAACACTTTAAGTGTCTCAGAATGTTTTATTTTTTGGCATTAAAGGCTGCGTATTTGTACAAACAGAAGCATTCTGGCAATTCCTCTGCAGACACGGTGCAAAGACACTGATTCTCTCAAATGTAAAGTTACATTTAAGATTGAAAACAAGCAACTTTTTAGTGGTTTTTCTTTTCACAGTTACATCTATTTTGTGCACTCTGAATATCCAAAGTGATGAGACAGAAAGCATTTCACGTCACTATGGCTGCTCGACTGTTGAGTAAAAAGACATTTTCTTATGTAAACGTGCAAAATACATATTGATGCTTCTTGGAAATGCCTGTGCTTTACAGTAGCATGTGAAGTGGATCAAACATCTCGTCGTCAAGCACGAGCGCATCACAGAAGCAGAGTGTGGTAACCGTAAAGCTATTATTGGAGGAGTAAAAAAAAAAAAAAAAGCTGATTGCTTGCAGCCATAAAACTGGCGAGTTTTCTTCTTAAAAGCTGTTGCACCTCATCTGAGGTCGGACATCTGCATGCATCCATGCCAAAACGGGACACTAATACAATCAGATTAAATGCATTGGCTCTAGGTTATCCCTACACAGCATGGCCTAAAGGCTGCAGGGAGGAAGGTGGTGGCTGGAAATATGAGCGATCATCATATCTGTTTGTTTGTAGCCACAATTAATCTATAATTGTCTTGTTTTTGTTAAAAGCAGACATTGAAATATGAGATCAGAGGACTGTAAGACCAACAGAGGGACACGTGTGGCACTTTAAAGGTTACAAAAGTCTGCTGATTGGCACATTGGGACCGCTGTGACGCTTCAGACGTTGCAGGACATACTGTGGCTTACATCCCCGTTGACCCCACCTCTGACGCTGTTTTCCACATTAGGAACGTTGTAGATCGTGTCATTGAGAACATCGTACGTGGTGTCGTTTGGCACGTCGTCTGCGCTGTCGCTGGATGTGTCGGGACGGTTGGACGGTTCTTGGTGGACGGATGTCTCCAGTGCCGCCCTCCCCGTCGGCCTGCTGTGAGGGGAAGCAGAGGTGCACAAGACGCAGAGGAAGGACGAGCAATCCCAGAGGCCCTGCGTCATGCTGGAGGAGAAGAGCCTCCGGCACGGATGGCAGAACTGGTAGAAGACCAGCATGAAGAAGACGGCCATGGCGTAGGCCAGCAGCAGCTGCAGCACCAGCAGAGGCGCGAAGATGAACTCGTAGAAGTCCGTTTTGTACATGTACCACAGCAGGAGCAGCGAGGCGTTCTCCACGAATCGCACCATGTAGTACACGGCCATGCGATACCAGTTCTGGGACTTGTTGATGAGGTCCGGGTCGTTCAGCTTCACCTGCACGGCTGACCAGCAGAACATGTTGATGCCCGCGTAGAGAAACGTCAGCAGGCACAGCACAATGGTGGTCCCCACCCTGGTGAGGGTCTTCTCTATGTTCTCGGGGAACGGTGAGTGACTATGCCAGAAGAGGATCCAGGGGTAGAAGAAGAACACCGAGAAGTTCAGGAAAACCACAGGCAGGACCCAGAGCTGCAGGACGGAGCTGAACAGGACCAGGACCACCACGCGCGTGGCGATCTCGAAGCCTCTCCACAGGAAGATGCAGAGGTAAGCCATGGGCCGGATGTCCACCTCGTAGTCATCGTATTTGAGCTTGATGGCCAGGATGTTGCAGCGCAGCGCTCCGTACACGATGGACAGAAGGGAAATCACCATCAGTGTGCCTGACGGAGAGCGGGAGAAAAAGAAGAAGGAGGTAAAATCTGTTAAAAGTGTAGGACTCAACGTCAGAAACATAAAATGCAACAGCACAAGGGACAAAGCACCATGTACAGTTTTCGTCTGAACAGTGAGTTACAGTTCGACTCTCTAAGCTCTTCACCTGAGAGGCATTTAAGAGAGAAAAGCAGCATTTTCATCATCTGTACCAGTGGGGTTGTTGCATAACTCCACTTGGACTCAACATCCAGCTCAGCCCACACTGTAGCGCGCTTGTGACAGACTTGCACTAATCCCTCCCCCACGCATCTCCTCCTCCTCCTCCTCTTCCTCACCTCTTCCGATGGACACCTCCTGCTGCAGCACGCAGATGTAGAGCTGCAGGGTGAGCTGCGGAGCCGATCCCAGGAAGGCCTGGATCACAGAGGTGCGGGAGAACGCGGCTCGGTGTGTGAACAGCTTCCCCTCGGCCTGACCCACCTGCCGCTCCACTTCCTCTGACTGACCCTCGCGGGGCATCTGCTTCTTCCTGGTGATGCTGACATAGGGCTCCTCCACCTGGCCCACGCTGCCGTAGATGCAGAACGCCTCCAGACACCTGGAGCAGCAGAGAGCAGAGGCAACGACAAACTAATGCTGAATTACTCAGTCTGTTGCATATCATTCCTGACTATAAAAATTACTTGGCTTCTGCTGTATTTACTGTCATCTGTGAAACCTTTTATAGAAAAAAAAAAAAGATGTTCCTCAGGTATGTAGCTTCCCTTCAGATGAAGAGAAGGGAGATTGTTCGGTTATTGAAGCTGTAAACACTTGATAAACCATTATGTTCCTTATGCTGAGGAGGAAATTCCCTTGAAATATGTGTTTCAATGAGAATATCCCTAAACACACCAGTCAGCAAGCAGCATCCTGGTTTCACACCAGTAAGATTTATGTTACAGAGCAGTCCATCAAATCTCTTAGAAAAGCTGTGAGGTCCTGGGTTGAAATCACTCCCTAACAGAAGCGATTTGACTTTTTGCAGCACAGATGTGAAGCAGTTTTGAGAAACTGTGGTTATATGACCAAATATTAGTTCAGTGATTCATCGGAAGCCAAATATTCAGGCAAGTTTGAGTTCAGATAGTAAAGGTTTGTTTTTGGAGAAAACATTGGCTGCTTCATAACTGCTAGATATTATTATTTTTCCCTCACTTTCACTTCTGAGAATTTATCCTGGATCAATTACATTTCATTTTCAGCTCACGTGTATTCTTATTTCTACAACATTTTCTTCTCCGACTTGGTTTATTCAGATTATTTACAGCATCTCGTGCACAAGAAAGGTGAATGAAGGACGTCTTTGGCAGCCGGTTACAGATTTTCACCTTTACCTGGGCATTTCTGCATAGCGTTTGCATTTAAAAGGTGAAACAGAAGCTGTAAGTGACCAATTAATGATCCTGCAACCAAGTAAACATGTTTGAAAATGATGATTACTTATTGATGCTTTATAAAGTATTGATGGCTTGAACAATAATAATTCGTAAACTGTTTAAACTGATGTTGAATTTTGTTCTGCCTTATCTTACGTTTCAGTGTCAAATTATTCACCTACGATTTACACGTGGTTTCAAATTGACAATGTATTTTTAGGAGTTTACAGAACACTTTGAGCTGTTTTGAGATCAATCAATACTTTTTTTAATCAATCACAAATTGTAACATTGGCCAGAGATGATAATATTTTTACTTACATCTAATAATCCAGTCATTTACGTTTTTTTTATGACGAATATATACATTGCAGCGTCTACTGCCATCGTACACCGACAGCGTTGATTAGTGTTTCACCACATACAGTGAAACGCTGCAGCACTGAGATGCTGCAGAAGCTCGATAAGCCCGAGGTAACTTTACCGCCAGGGTCATTTACATCAGCTTCTACTAGTTTGTCATTATGGAGGTCAAAAGAGCCATCACTGTCAGGGAGAGTCAGTAATTTTCCAATCCAATACTAAAGACTCTGAGGAGCAGAGCAAACGAGCTGAGGGTGGAGTGGCGCTGATCAGTGGCCAGTTAAACAGAAACGACGTCAGGATTGAAGCCAGAGGTCTGCAGAGAGACCAAATGTTTATCTGCTCAAAAACACGCCGTGAAAATCAGACACACGACTGGAGTGCTTAAAGCATTCGGAGTGGAAGGGGGTTTTTAACATGTTGTAGTTCTACAAGGGATCCACACATTCATTTAAAAATGTTATATTTTTTTCAGATTCAACATTACAAGGAGCTCCAAGTCCTTCACATTCATTATGAAGTACAAAATGTTCAAGTTTCTCAAGACTGTAAGGAAGTTAGTTATACAGCAGGAAGGTATTGAACACAAAGAAAAAGGGAAGTACATGAGGGAGAAATAAGGAAGGACCTACGCATGCCACAATAAACAATAAATCAATTAATCGCATGATTAATTAAAGCAAGCCGTTTTCATAATTTATTGTTTTTCTCTTTCTACCAAAAACTGGCTGACAAAACTCTTCAGTCTGGTGTTTTGGTCTCAACTAGCCCTTTTTTTTTTTTGAAGGAACAGTTTTGTTTACAGAGACTTCATAATTCATTTTAATTGTTTTTTTTTGTTGTTGTTTTGTTTATTTGTTTTGGATATTTAAAATATCTTCCAGTTCCAATGAATTAAAGCTTATTGAGCTTCAAGAATGTGTACATTATCATGCCGTTGCCTTTCTATTGAAAACTGTCTCAAAACAACAATATTATTATCGTTTATCGCAATAACTTCTGGGACAATTTATCACGTAACTTGTTATTCTGACCGGCCTAAGAGGAACTTGCACTGTCACGCCTCCGAACCGACGAGGAGAAAGACGCCGTCCTTCAGATATTCTCATGACCCGTATCTGACTTTAAAAAGGTATTTTGGTCAGGATCAAGATTACAGTCGACTCAAAGTCACTTTGCTGTAAATGCTATAAATACAGCTATAGTTGAGAAGGTGATCTTCTGGTGCAACTTTTGTCCCTCTGCTCACTTTCCTTACTAACTTCCTTTAAATGTGGACTTTGTGCTTAAAAACAGATTAAAACTCCAGGAGGAA